GTCGTGGGTTCAGCGTGCGATCGTACTACGGAAATTAACACAGTTTGTAATTGTATGTATTAGTAGACTTATAGAGCTAAGCTGCCTTGTAGACCTCTGTAGGTAGAGCACTCTTGAAATGCAGAGCGTCGTGGGTTCAGCGTACTACGGAAATCAACACAGTTTGCATCCACGAGGGTCTCCTCTGATCTATAGACGCGCTAGAGCCCGATTGTTGCAGAAAGTTTTACATAACACCGTGCGAGTGTACTACTGGGATTATCAGACACAGTTTGTGGTCTAAAGAGTCGCGATAGAGCACTCGGCATACATACATGTAGGTGTGGGTGTTTACTGGTTACCACGGTGACAATGTGTACATGTTCACCTCTATCATTAGTTCTTGCAATACGCCTGGCTGGAACACCACGGTCTTACTGCTGCAGCCGGCAGTGGGCGGGGCTTCTATCATCTTGGGACTGTCCCCTTCCGGTTGTTCCAGAAGTTTCTTCATCCTTGGGTACAGAAAAAGTACACGCCATTAACACTAAACATAATATGTAAAAGGAAACGGTGTTCTTTTCAGGGTGTCTTTATGCTATGCTAACAAACAGTCACATTGCTCTGCTGCAGTGGTGCTATTCTACGAGGATAGAATTAATTTTTATCTTCGCGGCAAGTACGATGGGGCAATGCATAATAATTGTGAACAATTGTTAGAGGGGAGTCCCACTGTACAGACTGGGCCACTCTTCATTTCATGACTAACATACAGCACACTCATTGCCACAAACTTTTGTAGAAAACGCGTAGAAAAGCAATCTTTTTCGTTTTGCTAACTTGAGAAAGCAGAGGCCGAGCCGCAGCCTGGAGTTGTAGTCTAGCTGAGTCAGCACATCTTGGGTGAACGGCAGACTCTCCATCATTCCCGTCATCAGGTCTTTGTACGTCTCCCTCCTCTTTTGAGCCAGTTTCCGCGACTTTTCGAGTCTCGTGGACGATGTTCCTGGTTGGGACTTTTCGGACGGTCGCTGACCCTTGTTTTTGGTTGCCATGGTGAAAGTGTGGGTGTTTACCGGTTACCACGGTGACAATGGGAGTATAACAGTCTGTTTAGTGAGTTTGTTGGCAGGGAGAGAGGGAGAGAGAGGAACAAGAGAGAAATTGAAAGTGATCAGTGACAGATGTGATGACAAGATGCGCAGTCACTACATGTGGCAGTAAGGTTTACCGTCCTGCACTATGGGCTAACATTGGCTCCGAAAGCCAGCCTAGCATATGGCCGAGCCAATAACTAGGGGGTTAACCTAATAATGAAACGCTTCCTAGACAATACGACTCCAGCATGCGTCTACCCACCCAGGGCAACTAAAGAGCTGTCCTGGGTGTAGTTGACTTGTTTGCCTTGCCTTGTCTTTCTACCTCGCTACAAGTTGTTGAGACATGTATGAATCCCACCCAGGGCAGCAACTCTTCTTTTCTTTGAAAAGAAAGAGCTGTCCTGGGTGTAGTTGACTTGTTTGCCTTGCCTTGCCTTTCTACCTCGCTACCGAGTTGTTGAGACATGAATAGCAGGCTATCCTTCACTTAGCATACTGACTTATAACCTGTCGTACATGTTCTGTACAGGAATTCTAGAGGTAATTTGAGTGGAAGATACACAAACACAACACAATGGGTGGCAAGCTTACGAACAAGAAAACTCCTATTCTCCAAAGATAAAAAGCTGCCCCGGGTGGGATTCGAGAAACCATGACACTCGGCAGTTTAGGCGCATGAGCAAAATTCCATTGACAAGCAAAAAGGGGAAGTGTGCACATTTGTTTCTACTTGAAGTGGTAAACTTCAAGATTATGTGAAATTCTTGCTAAAATGGCTCAAAGGCTACGAACTCACCACTATGGACTAATCATAAATGAGTCATACTTGCATGACGAACTCACTCGCCAAATATTCTCCCGACAAAGCAAACAGCAGAAAAACCGATTTCAGTGCCAGCAGCTGTTGCTTGCAGTATATCAGGTCACGTCTGACCTTTGAACCCACTCAGCTATATACACCTCTTAATTGCCACCAGATCTCCCACTGGCTGGCAAGGTACACAATGTGGCAAGTTAATGAGGTGTAATTATGCCTACTTGCCCACATAACCCCCACTCTGGGTACTAAAAAGCCTCCCCCAAGCCTCCCCCACATATAAATGTTAGGACATTCTCAAACTTTTGGACACCTTTAGGACAGCGCCTTATTTCTTAGAGTTTAGTGCAAAGTTCATTTTCTAGGGTGTTGTTAATTTTCGAGTCCCCTCAAAGTTTAGGACACCTTTCAGGACAGTATTAGCTTGCAAGTACACTTGAGAAAAACCAATTGTATGTGAGAGCCTCTAATACACCAAACCAATTGTATGTGAGAGCCTCTAATAATGTATTGACTGAAGTATATACCTATGGTACATGGTCAAGTGTCTAGTACACGTAATACAATCTCATCCAAATAAAGAGCTAACTGGGAGGTTTCTTGAAACAAGTGTTCTTACAATTATGGAGCCCCCACTTTTTAGAGTAATTATAAGGTTCTACTGTAGTGGTTTGACTAGGAAAGCTGTCTATCTCTCTTAGAATTCTGAAAAGGCTGTGTCTTTGAAAGCTAATCAACAAGGGATCTGGGCCAAGCCACAGAGGAAGTGGAGTAAAACAACAGACTCTAGGACTGTTGTTCCAGGTGTATATATTCTACATAGAACTCTGACTCTGAATAATAGGTAACATGTATTAGTATGGGGCCAAATTAATCCCACGGGCATATATATATATATATGTGTCCAGAGCTTCCATAAGTCCATAAGAATGTATATACATATGGCTGTTACGATGTTATACATCGATTTCTGCTTATTTAAGGAGATACCCATGGTGACCAAAGGGTTAAGTGTCCTTTATACAGAAGGTCTCCATTTCTCATATAATATGTACATACAAGTAATCTAGTATGGGGCAAACCACAGAGTCCTTATGTAGGTGTACTGCAAAACGGTGCCCATAATATAAATTGCATGAGCCAAACCAAGTGTCTTTCACTGAGAGGTGTCCCTTATTCGGAGGGTCCTTTAACTGTATGCTGTATCTATAGGACGGACAGAAGGAAGAGAGAGAGTGTGTGTGTGTGTGTTAAAAAGGAGAGAGAGGGAGTAATCGTTATGCTTGGAATATTAACAGAAGGGCAGAGCGGCCTTTCCAAGTCGTTGACCAATCAAATCTGGTTGTATATACACTGCGGTCTACGGTAACCCATTGTTATATCAATCCAGGTGGGCCTTCTCCCCTACCCTAATAATATTATACCATGTATTACATCCCAACATTGCTATGAATCTCATTGCTGTTTATTACATAATACTGGTACAAGCCTAAATTAATAGCTAGCTACAGCTAAATTCACTATCATGCTAAGAGTATCATGCAGTAAAGAGTCCTTTTTACGATTTTAGAACACTAGTAATCACAACGTTGCATTATACTGTGTTTAGCTACGTAGCTAGCTCATAATTATTCCATGTCGACAAAGGTGTAGTAACAATGGGGACAATGCTGCGGAAATCTCGAGTGCTTTTACAAGCTACTCGCGAGTTATACAAACACTGTAAGATACGTGTATCGAAGCGACAACAGACTGTAGCCATCGCGACAAAACACTCGCTTACCTCAGTAACGGGCTCCTTCTAACCGACGTGGCGACTTGTCTGTCCTCGCCAGGTTACTGCCGATATGCTCAGTTGGGAACGCTGTAAACTGACGTAGAAAATGGCAGAGGCAAAAACGTCTCCTGATGTAGTGGAGAGCTGGCTATATTTTCTGCGCAATGACGCCCACGCGAAGGTTAATGATATTCATGGTACATTATACGCGAACACGCTGGTAATAGGTTCAAAGTTCAAAAACTTGATGCACACAAATTAATTTGGGAATTGGATTTTCTAGAACACAAAAACTTTGTTCTGAACGGTAGCACATGCATACATGAAGCCATCTTCATCAACAGCCACACCAGACGAATTTCTCAGCCAGTCTCTCTCCTGTCCAAACGATGCAACACGGTCACCAGCCTCACTGAAAACCAGCATGTAGGGTGGCACCCTCCCTAAAGTAACGAACACAAAGCCAGCAGAGTTCACGCAGATGTAGCGAGGGCTGGGGAGCTCCTGCTGAAATAATCCCCTGAATTGGCCGTCGAAAGAAAACTTGGCAATGGAACCGCTTTTGGAGTGTGACTACGTACAGGCAATTTCTTCCGGCAGCTATATCGTACGGTTTAGTGAGCTCATCTGCTGTTAATCTCCCGACACGACTGCAATTTATCACATCGAATATTTCCACTTCCCCCTGAACACAAACATACAGACGTCCACCGATCACTTTCACGCCAAACGGGTTATTCAGATGCAGTGCCTTTAGAGTGCGGCCGAAATAATCAAGCTTTACCAAACAGCAATACTCGGGTCTACCCTATCGTTACAAGTGACAAAGAAGGTTCCTTCAGGTCCAACGGCCACACCCCGTGGTGCCTTAAAGTGACTGTAATCAGGTTTCACACTTCGCAGCAAAGCTCCTTCTCTGCTAAGTACGACCAGCCTACTTTTGCCGTACTCTGCAACAACTAGCTGTTTGTTGTGATTGAGGGTGATCGCCATCGGTTGGACTAAACCCTCAATGGTTTGAGTGGGAGGGCCCAGCCTACGCGGATTGATATTGGCAAAAACCCGAAACGGACTGCCGCAAATATCCACACCATCTGCTCTAACGATCAGATCATGCCGCCCTCTAACTATTGGATTGTACGAGATCTCAAAGACTCCGTTTCCCTTGGCGGTGAGTTTTGGAGTAACAGTTGATGAGCAATCAACCACGGAACGTAAGTCGAAAACTGTAAGTTCTTGGTGAGGACAGATTTGAAGTGTCATTTTAGACTTTTTTCCGACGTCGCACACATCACTGAGGACAACAGGTCTGAAAAATTCGGCAGTTTTAGTGGTTGTAGTACTGGGCAAAGCTTTGGGGATTCGTGTGCATTGCTGGATTGAGGCTGACAAGAAATGCTCCCCATATAGTCTGGGATAATTGAAAGCGGTGGAAGATCACACACTATGTCCGCAGTGGTAACTGGCTCGATTTTAATCTGACTGTGTCGTTTTAATTCCTCCAAAACCTGATTCTGAAGCCCAAGAAAACTGCTCCATCATCCCTGGTCGCTAACATACTCAATAATCGATTCGGCGAAATTGACAAGACTTTCTATTTCAGTGCCGGTCACTTGCAACTCTTTCATTTGCTCACCCAACGCATCTTTCTTTTCCTTCACAAACGCCATTGCTAAACTCTCCAGTTCTACTTCTCTCTGTTCGAGAATGGATTTTAGTTCGGCAAACGTCTCGTGAATCGACCGAGTTACGGCCACACTTTGCCTCTCGATCTCTTTTTCCGTCTCGTTAACCTTCTTTTGTGCGTCTAAAATATCGGACTGGGTTTTGTGCAGGGGAATGAGGGAACTGCAAATGTTTCTGCGTTTTTCGAGGGCACATGTTTTTAGGGCATTAAAAGTGTGGCCACTGTGCCCGGAAACAATGCAGTCGCGACAAACGGCCGTTTCACAAGTGAAGCAGTACACGGTCACGTGATCACCGTGCTCTGGGCAAATTGGGTAAGGATCGACTGATGTACCACTCGCGTCTCCTTTTTCAAGATGAAACACGTGATGCTCTTTGCAGCCGGTAAGACACTTGCTGGAGCAGTAAAAGAGGGCACAATCGCGGCAAAAGAGCGTCGCTTTCCCCTTGCAAACCTCGCAAGGCGTCCTTTCTGTGGTGCCTTCCTCAGTGGACATCTTAGCAAAGAGGTCCTTCATTCTCTCTACGAAGAACGCGCTTTTCAAACCGTTTACGCCGTCAGATGGGAGAAATGTATCCTCCCGACACTCTGGACACGGAAAGCTCTTCCCAACCGCGCATTTGGACAGTTTCTCGACGCATTGCCTACAGTAGTAGTGCATGCAGGGCAAGAGTTTGGCGTCGCTGTAGTGACTTTGGCATACCAGGCACGTGATCTCGGCCTCCAGGTCTTTCAGCGTCTTGTTGAAGGACGTTTTAGACTCAGTTTGGGCCACAGTTTGAGCCATGTTCGTTGTTCGTCGACTCTCCGCTTCTTCTCCCAACCGCAAAAACAGCTGTCCGAAACCTCGTGATTTGTGCCGCGCCCTAGCCCTTCGAACTCCAATCGCACGTGCGCATAATCGCGCATGCAATTAAGCAAGTGGGATAAAAAATGAGCTATACATACTGCTAGCTATACTGCCACTGAAGCTCTGTCCGAAGGATAGTGAAACTCGTGCTTTAGATTAGGATCTGCTGTCTTTGTGTGCCACACCAAAACCTGGAAATAAGTGAAGACATAATTGTGTGATAAAACTTGCGATAAAAGACACTTTGAATAAAGACACAATAGGTCTCTCAATCAAGGACCCACTTCGAGGTCCCAAATATTCACCTCAGAATTTGAGCCCCGGCACTCTAGTCTCTCTCGTGTCGTAAAGTGTTCGAGAAGGTCGGTCTCAAGTTGACCGACCCTCGAGTCAGCTCCGCGAACATCTCTCCCTATCAACACCTCCGGTCTGGCGAGGATTAGGTGAAGATTGACAGCAAATCCGGCCATATCAATCGGGATCTTCCGACTCGACGCCCAAATGCTATATAAAAAGAGAGGAAGACAGAGAACTTTTAGCCGCACTGCTTCAATGGGCAAACTGTTACTTCATGTACCACGTTTCAGTTGGGCTAAATTACAGACGATGTTTATTTTAAAAACTGCATATAAGTCCGGAACAGCTTTATCCATACCATACCTCCATTCTGCGGAGGGGCTGTGCCATTCTCGCACTCTCCCATCCTCACCACACACAGGTCCCTCGTAGTACACGCCCCCTGCAAACCCCACATTAAACACCGACACCTCCTTCGTCTTCCGGATCTGAAAACGCAGCAGAAAATAAACGTGTAAAGTAAAGCAGAATACTTTCACTGATAGGTTGCAAAGGGGACCTCTAACTAAAAGACACCTCTGATATCCAAAATGCATCCATAATTTAGAGGTTTGACCGTATTCATAAATCAAAAAATATTTCTTGACAATCAACTCACTTCAGAAAAAAGACGGACATCGATCTTGTTATCGTCGTCAATGAAATACACGACTCCACTGGAATTTTTCGGATGGTAATTTTCCCTCAGCCAACGCAGTCCGGCATTCCTCTGTTCAACACCTCTCACTGTACCAAACATCCTATACAGCGGCCAGGGCAAACTGCTCTTATACTTTGTCGAAGTAGCAACGCTCAGATGTACGCTCTCCACCATACATTTGGATAGGAGGTGGGACACAAGTTTGGTCTTAGTTCTCGAGTCTTCGACGACAATCCAGGTGAGTTTAGGTACGAGGGAGAGGGTTTGGCAGAGTGAGGTCAGATCGACTTTTTGTGTCGTGCAGGTGTGTGTGGGTGTGATGACAAAGACTGCTGGGAGAGAGGGGGAGGGAGGAGAGGAGGAGGCCCGGTAGAGGAAAGAGTAGTCAGGTCTGTTGAGATTGTACAGCTGAGTACAGTTCCTGCTGCTGGAGTAGGGCTGTGGACCCACCCAGTTCCCTAGGCGACCATCACGTAATACATAATACGTCACACAGGAGTCGCTTACGTGTGGTACGTTCTCCGCCGCCGTGCTGGTAGAATACGAGAGCTGTGAGTAGATTGGTCGCAACCACAACACACAGAGCATTGGCATATCTCCTCAAGCCAGCGTCCGGCAGAAAAAGTCTGCACAGCGACATCAATGCCCTCCGCATCCCTATTTCCGTATGAACAGGGTTAATATATACGCATATATACGCATGCGCTAATTCCGGTTCGCCACGAGACGACGGCCGCCGCCCATGCCCAGTTTTATCACGTGCTGCGGTTCGCGCGCGCGCGCGGCGCGCCGCCATATGCATGCGCATATATTATATATATGCGCATACGTACACACACCCCCGGCCCCATGCCCTAACTCTCCGTTTGTGGTTTTGACGATGGAGAGATGTCGATCCAAGTTGTTAGTCGCCGGGATACTAATACTATCTAATGTGGCGACTTTCCTGTTCACTTCGAACTGTGGTAAGTAATATGAAATTGTACAATACAGTGACAATCCAGTAGGAAAGTATAGCTAAGACCGTTTGTCCGTGTGTAGCTATGGTTAACTCCACCTACAAGGTAGAAGCGAGCATATTAGCGCTCTCCCTGCATGACACCGCCTTTTATGGACCAGATTACAGATAATATAGACACACCTGACTATAAATATCATGGCAACCAGCAGTCCAGCTGGTAACAAGTACATAATACACGACTCCACGTTTAGTTTTTGGGGTGGTAAAACTGTCTGTCCTATGGTGCTAGCTAGTAGTGTGCAGTTTGGTAGTTTACATGCAGTCCACGCCTTCTTCAGGTTGGCAATCAAACGAACTACAGAAAAGGCACCGTCTTATGGACGAAGGCAAAAATGAGTTGCCAGTAGCAATGCCCTCCCCTGTTCATCATGAAACTTTCGAAGTTCAATCTGAGAAGGTTACGGACTGTGAGACATGCAAATGTCCAACACAACAAGAAAACTCATCTGCTAACAGTTACGACCCGAACATGAAAACTGTGTTTGTAATCACGCCCACTTACCATCGCTCGACTCAGAAAATTGATCTCAACAGCATGTGTCACACTCTGATGAGTGTCCCAAAGGTGGTGTGGATTATTATCGAAGACTCTAGTAAACCGACCGGCTTGGTAACAAGACTAATGCAAAGGTGTATGTAAGGTGAAGATAGTTCACCTTGTGGTTCCCACAAGTTCCATCTACAAACAGAAAAAAGGAAAGCCATGGCAGAACTTACCTCGCGGAGTGGAGCAGAGGAATGCAGGTCTCAATTGGCTGAGGGACAACTACAGTTTAGACCACTGCAACGGAGCGTTTTACTTTGGAGATGACGACAATAAGTACGATTTGAGGCTGTTTGAAGATGTAAGCCTGACTTCACTATCTTATACCTTTCTACTTTTCTTTCCCCTCTTTTCCTTTATTGTTCTACTTTGTCCTTCGTTTCTTCTCTCTTCTCTTCTCATATAATTATAGTCTCAGGAAGATTATGATGGTGGAAGCAAAGATAATAGCTGCATTATCTATGATGTTATCCATGGTTGTATGTATATTATAGCAGGGGATAAAACTAAAACTGATTCGGTAATAAGTGAACAATTTCACAGAGATATACAAATGTCTCTCTCTACAAAATTCGTGAAAAAAGCACATACGGAAGATCCTCAAACGGCGCAGTTTTCAGTATATACAATTGATTTGCCAACATTTTCGTTGTTGCTTACTGCTCACAGATTCGTAACACTCGCAGTGTGTCAGTGTGGAAAGTGGCGTGGGCGGGGGGTCTCAAGTGGGAGGGGCCTGCCTGCCAAAGCAGCCGAGTCACTTCATGGCACTCTTTCTATAACAAAAGGCGAGTGTGTACTAGCACCAGAGTGTGTATGTGGTTTGCCTATCAGAACTACTCCTTCGGTACACTTTACTACACTAGACACCGTACACTATACTACCAAGCCACCTCACCCTCACTGCTTTTACTTACTCACTTTACTACAAGCACCGTAACTATCCACCAAGCCCTCACCCTACTGCTTGGTACACTTTACTACACTTTACTACACTAGACACCGTACACTATACCACCAAGCCACCTCACCCTCACTGCTTTGGTACACTTACTACACTTTACTACACTAGACACCTTACACTATACCACCAAGCCACCTCACCCTCACTGCTTCGGTACACTTACTACACTTTACTACACTAGACACCTTACACTATACCACCAAGCCACCTCACCCTCACGGCTTCGGTACACTTACTACACTTTACTACACTAGACACCTTACACTATACCACCAAGCCACCTCACCCTCACGGCTTCGGTACACTTACTACACTTTACTACACTAGACACCGTACACTATACCACCAAGCCACCTCACCCTCACTGCTTCGGTACACTTACTACACTTTACTACACTAGACACCGTACACTATACTACCAAGCCACCTCACCCTCACGGCTTCGGTACACTTACTACACTTACTCATACACAACACCGTACACTATACCACCAAGCAACCACTCACCCTCACTGCTTCGGTATCACTTACTACACTCTACTACACTCTAGACACCGTACACTATACTAACAAAAACTACCTTAAGCCACCTCACCCTCACTGCTTTCGGTACACTTACTACACTTTACTACGCACTAGACACAACCGTACACTATCTACACCCAAGCACCACTCTACACAAAACACCAACTCACCCTCACTGCTTCGGTACACTCGACTCACTTTAACTACACTAGACACCGTACACTATACCACCAAGCCACCTCACCCTCACTGCTTTGGTACACTTACTACACTTTACTACACTTTACTACACTTTACTACACTATACACCGTACACTATACTACCAAGCCACCTCACCCTCACGTCTTCGGTACACTTACTACACTTTACTACACTTTCTACACTTTACTACACTATACACCGTACCTATACTACCAGCCACCTCACCCTCACTGCTTCGGTACACTTACTACTCCTTACTACACTAGACGTACACTATACCACAAGCCACCTCACACCTCACGTCTTCGGTACACTTACTACACTTTACTACACTAGACACCGTACACTATACCACCAAGCCACCTCACCCTCACGTCTTCGGTACACTTACTACACTTTACTACACTAGACACCGTACACTATAACACCAAGCCACCTCACCCTCACTGCTTCGGTACACTTACTACACTTTACTACACTATACATAACCCTTACATTACATACTCCACAGCCACTCACCCTCACTGCTTTGGTACACTTACTACACTTTACTACACTAGACAACCGTACACTATACCACCAAGCTCACACCGTCACCCTCACTGTCTTCGGTACACTTACTACACTTTACCTTACACTAACACCGTATACACACACTATACACCAAGATCCAACCATCACCCTCACTGCTTCGGTACACTTACTACACCTTTACTACACTATACACCGACTATCACAACCAACCAGTCACACTCTACTTACCACTCACCTCACTATACACCTACCACTACACCCCTCACGGCTTCGGTACACACTTACTAACTACACTTACTACACTGACTACACCGTACTATACACTAGACAATCACAACGTACCCACAGCACACTTCTACACTTTACCATATACACTACGTACACTATACCACAAGCACCTCAACCCTCACGCTTCGGTACACTTACTACACTTTACTACACTAGACACCTTACACTATACCACCAGCTACCCTCACCCTCACGCTTGGTACACTTACTATACACTTTACTACACTAACACCGTACACTATACACCAAGCCCACCTCTAACACCTCTCACTGTCTTGGTACCCTACATACCTTACTACCTAGCACCTTACACAACTATACACCAACCTCACCTCACGCTTCTGTACACTACTAAACTTTACTACACTAGACATACACTATACACCACCAAGCCACCTCACCTCACGGCTTTCGGTACACTTACTACACTTTACTACCTAGACACACCTTACACTATACCACCAAGCCACCTCACCCTCACGCTTTGGTAGCACTTACTACACTTTACTACACTAGACACCTTACACTATACCACCAAGCCACCTCACCCTCACCTGCTTTCGGTACACTTACTACATTTACTACTCTACTAACTAGACACCTACACTATACGACCAAGCCACCTCACCCTCACTGCTTCGGTACACGTACTACACTTACTACACTAGACACCGTACACTATAACCAACAAGCCACCTCACCCTCACGGCTTCGGTACATCTTACTACACTTTACCTTAACTACACTAGACACCTACCTCACTAGCACCTACACGTTTACTACTAGAACCTACACTATACACAAGACCACCTCACCCTCACTGCTTTGGTACACTTACTACACTTTACTACACTAGACACCTTACACTATACCACCAAGCCACCTCACCCTCACTGCTTCGGTACACTATACTACACTTTACTACACTAGACACCTACACTATAACACCAGCACCTCACCCACTCTGCTTCGGTACACTTACTACACTTTACTACACTAGACAACCTTACACTATACCACCAAGCCACCTCACCCTCACTGCTTGGTACACTTACTACACTTTACTACACTAGACACCTTACACTATACCACTAAGCCACCTCACCACCTCACCCTCACTGCTTTCACTATAACACCAAGCCACCTCACCCTCACTGCTTCGGTACACTTACTACACTTTACTACACTAGACACCGTACACTATACTACCAAGCCACCTCACCCTCACGGCTTTGTGTAGGGTATAATACTACCTTTTATTGTAGCTATAGTCCAACCGCCCATTCCACGTATGTATGTAGGTTATTCCCGGTTGACATGGCAGCATTTGCAGTCGACTTGTGTGAACTTTTCAAGCATCCATTGGCCAAAATTGGGGTAGACGTCAATGGTAAACCATCCGCGAACGGCCGACTCGAGACTAATTTCCTCGAGCATTTCGGAAACAAAGACACTTTCGAATGCCGCGGTGCTGAAAATGAGGTGGGTGCCCTGCGCAGCGTGATACTTTTTGTCCAGTTAAATTAACCCAGTTTCAAGCCAGGTTTAACCCTTTGGATGCCATGGGTATCTCCTTAACGATTAGCAGAAATTGATGTAAATGTTTATTATACTCTCAAAGAAGTCACTTTTTCCACAGACTTACGTGTGGCACTCCAAAACCTCTTCTCCCAATCTACACAAGGAAAAGGAGCTACCTTCAAACACAGCAGTTGAAACAGACTGACCACTGACATTACTCTATCGCACTCCGTTTTCACAACCACTTGGTGATAACCCTGGGCGCGAGCTACTAGCGGCGGGAGACCTCGAGTACACGCTAATAGCGGCTCCCCCATCAATTTAGCGGTATCGCGCATGCGCAATTCGCCGAGGGCTTGCTCATTGCGGGTCGGTGATCGAGGGGGGGGGGACGGCGCCAATGTCGAAATTCCAACAGAGTAAAGCGTAGGCATGGGGGAGTCCCATGCGTTCAGACTCAGCGTCGGATACTATAGTGACGATAAAAGATGGAGAGCATTGTCGTGCTGCCGCCATTGCGGCACAGAGCCATGTTCGTGTTGGTCGTGGCGCTGTTGATAGTGACGAATACAACGACCTTCATGTACGCCACGAGACTTTTCAACAGTAAGTCCTAATGGGAGAATGCTGTGCTATGGGATCAAGTAGCTAGTCACACGACCACAGGGTCCGTCCCACTTACATAGGCTGATCTCGAACAGAGTGGGGCAGGCTGAAGCTCCCATGATGATACTTGTCGGCCCCCAAATATTTCCGGATGAGACTCTGCCATGATAGATTTCATAGCTCCAGAACCTAGATATAAAACAGTATCCAGCATCTGACACTAGATTGATGTTGTCAGGTGCAGAACCGGTGCAGCGTACCAACACGAGGGCACTGGAATTGGGAAGTGTTGGCAAAATGATGCAGTTTTCTAGTATAAGTGAACAAACACAAGGAGATCCTACTATACCTGATGAACATATGGAAAGTGGCGAAAATAAAGCTCCGACTACCAGCACTAGTGATTGTACTCCTTGCGACTGCAAAGATCCAGAAATCACGAAAATTGTCTACGAAGTGGCACATGAAGAATATCCAGCACAGCAACAAGAACAGTCACTCGTTGGGAATAAGACCAGTGATGACGCACACATGAAAACTATATTCATTATTACACCGACTTACCATCGCTCGACTCAGAAAATTGATCTCAACAGCATGTGTCACACTCTGATGAGTGTCCCAAAGGTGGTGTGGATTATTATCGAAGACTCTAGTAAACCGACCGGCTTGGTAACAAGACTAATCCAAAGGTGTAAGGTGAAGATAGTTCACCTTGTGGTTCCCACAAGTTCCATCTACAAACAGAAAAAAGGAAAGCCATGGCAGAACTTACCTCGCGGAGTGGAGCAGAGGAATGCAGGTCTCAATTGGCTGAGGGACAACTACAGTTTAGACCACTGCAACGGAGCGTTTTACTTTGGAGATGATGACAATAAGTACGATTTGAGGCTGTTTGAAGATGTAAGCTGAACCTCGACCCCCTTTCTCTGTTCTCTTTCTCCCTCTCTCCTTCTGTAACTTCTTCATCTCCTCCTCTTCCTCCACTCACCCTCACATCTCTTCTCATACTTCTTACTACACACTTCTTTCCCCTTCTTCTCTTTGTCGAGATAGTGTATGTTTACAGCTGTCAACAATGCCTTCCTACATCAAGTAGCTATGATTTGCCGACGTTTTCCTCAGATTCGTAACACTCGAACTGCATCAGTGTGGAAAGTGGCGTGGGCAGGAGGTCTCCAGTGGGAGGGGCCAACCTGCCGTAATGGCAAAGCCACCTCCTGGCATTCTTACTTTGCTGCCAACAAAAGGTATGAAGTCATCTCTTAAGGGACACTCGGTTCTGCCCCATACTAATACATTATCAAAAATCAAGGCTGTCAGCTAACTCTCCCACTTTTTCCTGTCCCTTCTACTCATTCTCTATTTAGAGTATTTCCACTGGACATGGCAGGGTTTGCAGTACACCTGTGTCAACTGTTCAAAAACCCAAAAGCCAGAGTCGGTGTGGACATTCACGGACACACCTCCAGGAATGGGTTCCTCGAAACTGATTTTCTTCAGCACTTTGCTACCAAATCCACTGTAGAGTGCTGCGGATCCGAAACTGAGGTAATCCGAGTTTTTACAAGGGTATATTATATCAGGAAAAGTTTTCGTAGGGCGCAAAACTTTTTGTATGGCGCCTGATGTAAATCCTTGGAAACTTTAATGGGCGGCAGCACCCAGGGACATTGTCAGAGCAAGTGTCCCTTTAGAGAGGTGTCCTTTATTCAGAGGGTCCTTTGCAGAGGTTTATATATACGTACGTGTATCTACACCTCATACTGAGTTCTTTTTACAGGGACATTGTCAGAGCAAGTGTCCCTTTTAGAGAGGTGTCCTTTATTCAGAGGGTCCTTTTACACCTGCATGCGTACACAGTATTCATACTGAGTTCTTTTTCCAGACTTACGTGTGGCACTCCCACACTACTTCTCCATCGCTTCACAACGAAAAGAAAGCCCATTCAAGCGAAGCTGTCGAAACAGGATAACCAACAACACTATATAGATGCAAGTGAATAATAGGATGATTTTTATATTATTATTGTATGTCTTGAGTTTTCGTTCTGACATCTTTAATTCTCAGCTCAATCTGAAACAAAAAGTTAACAAAGCATTAACTTTTGGTGTTGTAAGACAAGCATGATTGGTGTGCGAGTACATGTAAGGGATAATGTTACCAAAGATGTAACAATAGAGCCCAGTGCAAGAATGTAATTAGGTTTCTGTTTTATATTTTCTTAATACACTGCAACATTCCTGTTACATTATAAGTCTCTATCAATATTGACACAAATCCCACCTCACAGTAGCTATACCGGTACTGAATCTAGTTACCTCATTTAGCTGTTTCTACCAATATTGACACAAATCCCACCTCACAGTAGCTATACCGGTACTGAATCTAGTTACCTCATTTAGCTGTTTCTACCAATATTGACACAAATCCCACCTCACAGTAGCTATACTGGTATATACTGAATCTAGTTACCTCGTGTAGCTGTTCCCTGAGGTCAGTTGCCTGTGATTGGAGCTCTCTGTAGTGCTCTAGTCTTTGAGACTCCATAGCATCCTCCAGATTCAGTGCAGCTTGCACGACTTTCTGCCTGTGGTCCCTATACATGTTAACATACTGCAGAGGCAAAAAAAACACGGTTATATATTTCATCAAGGTTTACGAAACGAAAGTAAGGAAAGAACAGAAGAACAAAGTAAGGTTGTTGGTAGTTCAAAACCTAGTGCGCTAAGGCTATAGAGGTAATATAAAACATAAACCACGATTTGTATGAAGTATAATCACCATAAGGCAACAGGGGACTAGACAGTGCATAACAGAATTTGATCCAAAACATTTTCCGTGAATACACTAGAAATTTTAACACTTACCAGTGGTATGTAAATGAATCCCAAGACGGCCAGCGTCTGTGTGATGATGTAGGTACAAAACGTATAGTAGAATATGGTATATCCATCTAAAGAGTTCCCAACATCAATAAATGTGTAGAGGATGATGAATAATTCGATTCCAACGAGATAGGACACCGTGGTGGCAGCGGTCGATTTGCCCTCATGTCCAAATCGACTGTTGAGTCTCATGGTCAGGAAAGCGAGTGTTATGCACGGGGAGAAAGAGCACGTGGAAGTAGGCAAATAGCAACAGTCGAGTGACTTTATTGGCCACATTACAGTAGGAGATACGAATGAACCTGTAGGAACTGTCGTCCTGTGGAATAATCAAGTACAGTGCTTTTCATACTCACATAGTAACTATGTGCATAATAATTTTCGTTGAAGTATGGTATAGATACATAGCATGTGGACATTATGACTAGAAGAAACGTTGACGAGTGAATGTACAGTCAGAGGAAGGAAGGAAGGAAGGAACTAGTTGCAGCTCTACGTGATGTTCACACATGCAAACTTTCAAGTGGAAGAGCATCAGTTACATTAATATGAATAATAAAACGATTCGGGGTCGGTTTGCTCTGCTTGCCAATTATTGAAGAGTTAGTGGAAGAGAGTCAAGCACAGGCAACTATGGTTTGGTTGTTGGACCACCCTGTATATAGGTGTAGCTCTCATACCGTCTGGAGTGGAATAATGGACTCGTCATGGCGAGTTTCTCCGGTGGCTATGGAACCAATACAGAGAACTAGTACTGGCAGCAGAAACAGAAGTACCGGGAGCATCAGAGCACCGTCTGTGAGTCTATCATCCTGAGATTAACAGAGGGACAAAGAAATGAGCTCTGTGGCTACCCTGGACGGGACTTGAACCAATGACACCTTGTTCTCAAGGCAGAGTGGTCTACACCACTGAGCTATATACCAGGACAGCCCAGCATGCAGGGCTGAATTTCTACGATAATAGCACAGCAGGCAGCACTCAGGGCAATAAAAACACAAGGCAAACCCCATGATAATGTAATCCTAAAGGCAACATGATCCCCCAGCTTGTACAGTTAGTATTGGCTACATCATTAATATTGATCCCTTTTATATAGTGTGGGCAATACTGCAGCTGTCTTGGAACAGAGAAAAATCTACAACATCGGCTTACGTGTCTGATTTTGAGCTTCTTGTTGTAGAAGATGCGGTATATGCGATAGTTCTTTGCCAGCAGTGTACCGTACAACAGAGTGAGACCAAATATGGGCAACCAAACGTCAAACTGAAAGACAAAGAATCGATAGTTAATGCTGTTGCTTGACACAAAACTTCTGTTTGTCTTTTTTTGGAAAAGTCTCGGTATAATATAACCATCTATGATGCTAGGTATATACCGCGCTCATCCCTATTATACTAAGTGCTAGCGATAATACCCAGCAAATGTGGTCGATTGTGGTGCCATCAAAGTCGTAGGCATGTGAAGAATAAACAAGACCCTCCAGTAATACACCGGGTGGTATGAGGACCAGGGCTACAGTGATCCCAAGAGACAGTCTAGGACTTGTTGCCCTCACGAACCTGCGGCAATAGGTATTGTACTCTGAACAGGCATAGTAGAACGCATGAAAAAAGCAAAAATGTGGGATATATCACTAAGTACGGTAGTACTTAGTATATATGGATGACACAGGTTGTCCTGCATTGTGCCCATACATTTGAGATTTTCATGTTTCACTTTCTATATTATATTATATACCCCCAGATTAGATTGAGAGTATGCATACTTGTTATGTCTGTGTCGTAGGTTGAAAATGGCGATGGAAACAGGGAGGGCAGTGAATACCACCACCAGAACAAAGCCAAGGACGAGACCAGGAATGGATATCTCTGAATCAACCATAGTCAACCCTGAACGAGAAGGGACTGCTCCACCTGAAAGATAAGAAGGGGTGGACTACGTATATAGAAAACAGTGCAAGGGCATATACACACAATATGATCAAAACCGCTCATCACAGCCACTTGAAGGGGCCAAGAGCCAGAGCGGTCTATCCCATGGCAAATTGCCTAAACAGTGCAAAAATAGGAAAAATATATACTAAAAAAGTGAGATCTTTGGGATTTTGTAACATGTCTACTCTATACTGTATGTATATCTTGTACGGCGATTCAACAGTCGCTTCGACTCACTCCAAACCTGGTATTTCATTCATTCATTGTACGTAGTATTTAACCAGCACACCTCTCCACTGAAAATCAAAGGTGCAGTTGAGAGCTGAAGGGTCTGTAAAGTTTCTGATCCACTCTCCCAGTATATGTACAGTGGGACAAGTATGAGTCTCTGTGTTCTTCATTGGAACAATTCTCTCTCTTCCAGTCTGAGCTCCTGGTACAGCCAGTGCCACTGGACATATCCATCCCCCTGCATATATACATACATACATAATGATTACAATTTCCATACGAATGAATAAATAGTAGTAAGTAATGGAGTTAGTAAGTATGGTATAGTTTCTATTGCATGAAACGGGCATTTTCTACTGTTCTCGCTTTATGGTATACCAGCTTCTGATGATGACCCTCTATGTTGGCGTTGATGTGTTTACACTAATAAGTCATGAATTTACTGTAGCAAGCTCACTCAACCATGCCATTCAGTCATACCTAAAGGTCTAATGCCCTCCAATTGTCAGAAAATGAATCTCGTTAAGCATCCACCACCACAGGTCAAGTTACTTCCTACATGGGTATACCTTGAAACTGGGTGATGAGTCACTTGTCCATAGTATTTCTGGCTCTCCTCGAGCCTGATATCCAGCGAGCATCCCTCTTTCTCCCATAGATTCTTCAGTTCAAGCTCCTGATAGAAACAGTGCGTAGTTACACACGAAGACCATAGCTATACATACAGATGACATAAAGGACATTAATGAGCCCACGGCATGTAAACAGGACATGTAGATTACCTGCCCTATTAAGTTTAATACTCAATGTTGTTAGCCTTAGGTAGAGTAAATGAATTGCCACATAGGTAATGTAATTCTGTTAGGGGGCAGTTTAGAAGATTTGTGTTTCAGTATATTATACTCAAGGCTGGGCACCTGGTGTCCTACCTTGTTGTGTGCAACTGTGTGTGGTTGTTTGTGTCTGTGTACGTACTTGGGTGGAGGATGGGGGGCGGAGGGTGACTTCTGGTTTTATTTCTTTTCTATTCTCTGTGGCTAGTATGTTATAAATGGCCATACGTACCATAGGATTATTGGAAGCTGAGACACTACCAAAGGATTACAGTTCAAATGTTCATGATTCACGACTTAAAGAACTAAATGTACTCACAGAAATGTCTTCCAGAGCTGATTCCAGTCGGTCGGTGACGTTTTGAGGCTTCATCTCACAGTCTAGTGAGGTCAGGACACGGTCCCAGGCACTGGCTATGGTCCACACTGCATCATAGGCACTTGTAGCGTGAGAGTGAACGAGGGCTCCAGAAATATCAGAATTGTCCGAGAGATTGTAAATACTCATCGTTACATCCAATAATTCCTGCATAAACCCCTGGGATGGTGGGCCTATATATGAGCACAGAAGGTCAGGCAAAAAATAACAGATTTGAGTACTATGTAAGCAATCTGAAAGGAAACCCTTTTATGTTTAGAAGGAAACACCCATTGGAAAACCTGTCATAACAGTTTATACAGGGCACGCTTAGAGTGGTCATGATGTGGGCTACAGACACACTATGCAATGTATCAGGCCATGATAGTGTGTATTGACTCGCCCTAACCTGGTCTTCTGTGTAAATAATGGGTGTTTTGTAGGAACGAAAAAGAGCGTTGTTTCCAGGGCTGACTCTAGCTCGTCCTCCGTGCAGTTGCAGGTATGTTGCAGTTTCCTCCACCAGTTAGCGTCACTGTATCCTGGTAGAATCCAGACAAATCCTGAACCGGTCAAGGCACTGTGACTGGCCCTGCAGATCATCTTGACGGCATCTTGAGGCCCCGTGAGAGCAACAAAGGTCCTGATTTTGCTAGTCGTGAGGTGCCTGATGATTCGATCCATTCCGTCCTCAGTTGAAAAGGTTTCCACATAGTCAATGTGGATCAGGCCACCAGACAATTCATCCAAGTGATTGCTAAATGTCTTAGTAAACATCTCAAACAGCTGTGGACAAAACAAGTGGGACTTAGTGGCCAAGACACATGTTTATCAGACATTATCAGCCTGTATATTATTAATTGTGTAATATGGACAAATTGTATGCTACAAATGTGATAATTGGTAGGGTATATAATGCTTTTAAGTGATAAGATCCTTCTTCATATAAACCAGGGTTTACTAAATGAAGGTCACGAAAGAAAAAAGAAACAAATGGTTCAATACTCAGTATGCCTAAGTTCTATGCTAAGACATGTGTGGTTATGTACTACATACCTCTGAGTATTCTTCAGAGGCAGCACTGAGTACGCCAATCCTGTACCACTGGAAGTAGTCCAGCAGAGAGACCAAGGCTTGCGCAATGTATGTATTGGAAGGTAAGGTTCGATAGTAGAGTCCACTCTGTACTATATTCTGTTCTGGAAGACTGAAGGAAAGCTGCATAAACACACACATGCACACACCAACATTAACCCTTCACTTTGAATTACGGTACAATACACACATAGATAGAGAGACTTAGTACAATCAAACAACAGTCATATAAAGGATACGCTGGGACCATGAATATTGTACAGGGATGTCCTTTATTCAGAGGTTCAATACACAAATGTATTAGCAACGGATCAAAACAAAAAGAGAGGTGTTCTTTTACGCAATTTCCTTTAATACGAGATTGCATTACAGTACAGCATTTTACAACGACCACAAGATTTTAAATCTACATGGGGGAATTTGGCAACAGAAGAGGAATACTGTATACTAGCAGCAGCCCTGACAGAAATCTCTAGAAGCTCTATGCAGTGCATTCTACACACTTCAGTGAAAAAGCCGCTGACTTACTGAAGGGACCTGAACACGGTTAGTGAAGACTGAAGTAAACAGTTGTGAATTTCTCAGTCTCGGTGGTCCGATGGCTCCGTGGAAATCTCCCATTGCCAATGCACCCACTGATTCTAACTGGGCAAAAGTCTGCAATGAAACAAAAAATATCATTATGGTAAAGATTTGACTGAATTAGTGCCACGATTCGGTTAGCCACAGTTTTTTTTAGCAATTGGACAGTAATGTTTTGTTCTCCCTTTCAAGTATACCGGTAGGTGTCCGAAACGTTCATTTAACTACAGGAGCCCAAACGAGGAATGTGTGACATTACAGGAAGTGATCTAGGGGTTCGGAATCGTAATATTATAGCTGGGAAACTTTTGTTATCATGAAGCCACTTTGACACCTACTTTTAGTAGTAAATCCCAGTAAAGTGATACGACAAACATGTGCTCTAATACACGGTCAGTCTCACTACGTATTATTACACTGGCTGCATGCGCGCGCAAAGTAAATTAGCAAAATATATAGTCTCACGTTTTCTTCATCGAATACAGTGATTTCAAGAGTAATGTTTTTCAGAATGGACGACTGCTCGTTCAAGTGGTTCGCCGCCAGTTGCAAGCCTCCACGGACGAAGTAGTCGCACGACAACGTGTCCACGGCGTCGCTGCACGCCGGCACGAGCGCGTAGAGGGAGAGCGTCTCTTGCGGACATCTTCGCTCACAGAACCCGACTATGATCCAGAGGGACAAGAGGAAAGCAACTTTCTTCATCACTGAACGACGACGCAACCAGACCGGCAGAACTACGCGGCAGATAAAATGCACCGTAAAAATGAGGGGCCTGGCTAGGCTGCACCAGTAGCAGGAAATGGGACATAAAACCTCAAAATGGAATTTAATAGTAGATTAAATGGGGTTAACAGCATGAAGCAGGTCACAATGTTCTAGGAAGGCCGCATGCGCAAAGGTGTCGGCCTCGTGGTCTTAGTCAGCACTATTTCCTAGCATATCCGTGAGGCAGACAGGTAGCTGAGCAATTTTCACGCAATTTTCACGGCTGGATCAGGGAGGTGGCTCGTGTGTAACACTCTCATGCTCGCCCAATCTAGATAATGCTACATCTATTCTGAGCCATTCTCCGTAACATAATATGCCATTTTAGAGGGGAGACAGAGGTACCCCAATGTCAGTGCCAGGAGAATGGTCTGGGCATGCGCAAAGCTGGCCTGCTTCTGAATCCCCAAACCATTACGTCACACCGTACTGGTGTAGGGAGCACAGCAAATAACAGCAAAGCTGCACAAGAATTGCGTAATAAGCTGTTAACCAAGCTTCAGTATCGGACGAGAGATAGCGCATGCGCAAACAGCGGTGCGAGTGCAGTAGGCGTGGTTACCCCGCCCACCGCACACGGCGAGCAACAAAATCCTCGAGATGAGGCTGAAAGTGCTCTTTGTTGCGGGCTGCGTCGTGTCAAATTTCCTCACAGCTCTGATCGTCCTCAACCTAAGGCCAGCCGTCGTTCCTATAGGTGAGCTGACAGCAGATTAGCATAATACTCTAGAGGCCTCTTGCTAGCTAATTTCTAGGGAAAGATTATCCAACGTTTATCTTTGTCTAGAGATTAGCAAGCATGTCGGGTATTTAATCCGCAGAGTAGCGCTTTTTCTAGTTGTGTCGTGTATCTTGTGTTGCAGCGGAGGTCCGGACGTGTCTGCAACTTCAAGCGGTGGAGGAAATTCAACAACAACAACCGCCACCAACCACAAAAGCAACAACCACAGCACACAGGGAACACAACAGGCTCAACAGGACCCACCATTTTCATGATAACACCGACCTATGCAAGACTGACACAGAAATCAGACCTGACGTCCGTCTGTCTGACCGTCATGCACGTCCGAAAGCTTGTCTGGATAGTAGTAGAAGACTCTGACACCAGAACCTATCTGGTCGCAAAGCTGCTCGCTCGATGCAAAGTGAGTAGCGTGCACCTGAACGTGGTGACTCCCGACTATTACAAACACGACAAGTGGAAACCGAGAGGCGTGCTGCAGAGAAACGCGGGGCTGAGCTGGATACGGGACCACCATTCCATCGACAACTGTAGCGGTGTCGTCTATTTTGGAGACGACGATAACAGCTATGATCTGAGAGTGTTTGAAGAGGTCGGTGGCTTCACTGCTAATACCTGCACACACACACACACACACACACTCTCTCTCTCTCTCCCTCCCTCCCTCTCTCTCTCACTCAGATGAAGGAGACAAAGGGAGTGTCAGTATGGCCAGTTGCCTTCTCAGGAGGTGTGAAGATAGAAGGTCCTCTCTGTAAAGATGGAGTCATTGACAAGTGGCACAGTGGATGGGGCTCTGAAAGGTATAATTATAGTGCGAGATGGAGGGGGAGGGTCATCAGAATGCTATAATGTTAAGGTGGTGGTGGTATAAGGAGAGAGTTTCTTTCCTGAACATTTCCTTACTATGGCTGAAGAAGTTAACACGTTAACAAAAGGCTTTTGTGTTTTTCTGTAGAGTCTGTCCTCTTTCTAAGGTTCTCCAAATGCTACAGAACTATTTGCACTGACATTGTTACACTACAGTTTTAGGGCGTAGTTTTCTCCTAATAAGGGACAACTCTGAATAAAGGACACTTCAGTGTACCCAATTAGATGTCCCTTATTCAGAGGTTCCACTGCAGTTCCTCCAGTGAAAAAAAATCTCTCAATTCTACCAACAGACCGTTTCCAATTGACATGGCAGGGTTTGCAATACACCTATGTCTCCTCATGAGGAATCCCAAAGTTCTCATCGGTCGAGACAGACAGAATCGCCTCTCTAAACCAGGATACCTGGAGAGTAATCTTCTCGAGCAGCTCGTTGATAAAGATTTACTAGAATGTCGAGGCCCACCTGATGAGGTATATATATAATGACAGAGAATTCAAGAGAAATGAATCAGGAGGTGTACAACACAGAGCTATGTAGCTCCGGGGATGTCTTTCTGGGAGATAATCAGCCCCCTGCCGATTTAGATTGTCCCAATGACAGCACGCCTACTATCAGACTGTCCCATGGAAGCATATTTAGGGGGACAAATGAAGAGATAGAGGAACTATGTCCCCCTGGTGTGCTCTGGCACCAGCCCTTTGTGCGGTGTAGTGGGTCAAGTATTAAGTATAAACTATTGTTGCAGGCTATTGTATGGCACGTCAAGACAGCAGAGCCGGACATACCGAGAGAACACAATGACCCTTCAGACCCACTTGATATTGAGGTATAGTCGTGTCATGTCACCCCCCATGTATCATCTGTGTATTTTTTTGACTCTGAACGGGCGCAGCGCTTTTTTGACGATCGAATGCAAGGCTGGGTTAATATTAGTATACGTTGCATTGGTCTATGGCGGCGTGCCACGAAGGTACTGTACATGTACAGCTGTAATGGAAGCTGCAATTCAGATGACGGTTGGTTTGCTTGGCTTTCCATTAGCATTGGTCTTCCGGTATTTGTCAATCTCAGCAACTATTCAGTATAGCACAGAGTTAATGGATCATACATTAAACAGAGTTCTATTTTGATCTGGTGACAGATCGGAAGGCGTGCGGGCAAAGAAAAGTCTATTTCTATAGTTGACACCACCCCCATCCTCTCCTTCTCCGCCGCCGTCAATTGGACACGTGATGTCAGACGACGGACTGGAAGGACAAGTGGTCAGCAGAGCTGCTGAGCTGGCGGTGGATATTGCGCTGTCAGATCTGTCTTTCAGCTGTCTCTCTCGCAGCGACATCACTTTCTCCTCTTTCTGTCGGAAAAAAATCACGAGAATCATTAAACGAACACAGCGACTAGAAGAAAATATTTTTAGCTGACGCGAGTGTAAGAGTAGGAGAATAGAAAAATTCGGTGGCATATAAAATCGAAATCTGGTGCAAAAAAAAGGTGTGTCAGAGAGACTTGAAAGGACAGATCCATATTTTTTCGCCCATGCAGTGGGAGAAAGAGTATGACAAAAAGGCCAGTCGACTTTAAACCGAGCAGTTTTAGAATGGCATTTGGCTAGTGAACTACGAATATCATAATTATGGTATGAATCTGCTATCATGCAATTCAACGACTTCTCTCGTCACTAACAATAGCTATTATACCTCTTTAAGTTCTAGTTTTAGTCGGCTGGCTTGCTGGCCCAGATCTGCGAAGTGGGACCTCTGCTGTTCCAGAACACTCCTCTGTCTCTCGACATTAACCCTTTCCTTCCTCTCCCTCCATATCACCACAAACTGTATTAATACAGTGTAAACAACATATATTAGGTTTAGATTAAATTTTGGTGGTTTACAAGTTCTGGACTTTACTTAAAAAGAGTGTCATAGCGTCTCAAAAAGAGTGTAATTACGTCAAACCTTTTTCAGAAAGAGTGTCCCTATGAGCGTGTCTGGTAGTGCAACAGACACCAGAGCCGTCGTCCAAAACTTGTGTTGGTACAGTCTTGGATCTGAATCGAGACACGGCATAAACATCAGTCCCGGAACGAAGATTGCCAGCGTTATCAGGACAGATATACTGCTCTGGTTCCCCTCCATAGAGAAATGGGAAAAGTGGGCGGGGATATTGTGGTTTTGGAGGCTGAGGAAGAGGAGGACGAAGGCGAGGGCACCGAAGTAAGAAATGAGTATAAATTCCCAGGTTATGAGGTTCGTGGAGTTGCAGTAGGTTATGGTGAGAGACTCTGTGGGTGACACCTGTGGAGCAAGGGAGGGAGGTAGGGAGGGAGGTATATATGGAGCGAGGGAGGGAGGTATATATGGAGCGAGGGAGGGAGGTATATATGGAGCGAGCGAGGGAGGGAGGTATATATGGAGGGAGGGAGGGAGGTATATATGGAGGGAGGGAGGGAGGTAGGGAGAGGAAGAATGGAAAGGAAGAGAGCAAGCTTTTTCATCTGGCTAGTGTATACAGTGAAACCTCTGAAAAAGACTCCACATAAAGGACAGTACTTATTGGATAATTATTGGAAGGATGACGCTGACTTTCAATGTCCCCAATTAAAGTGTCTCTTATTCGGAGAGGTTCCCAGTATTAGCTAGGGTTAGCTGGACACAAAGACCAATGTATTAGAAGTAAAAGTTGTTTGATTATGTGCATAGAACATTTGGGAAGGTGTTATAGAGAGGTATATATACAGTGTAAGTTGTCTCTTGGTAGTGGAAAGGGTTCAGGAGCTGCCAGGTGGTGTGGAGGAGAAGATGAGGAACGACCAGCAGTAGGGCCAGGAGAACCAGATACTTGTCTCTCAGGCACCGAGACATCTGGAACAGAGCCAACAGGACAGAGGATGAAATAAGCAAAAAGCAAACAAAAAAACAGCGCATTTAAATCATTACTTCTAGGCTCATTGCAAGAAGCATTGGGCTGCATTTAAAAGTGGCTAATTGGTGCTAAGATTGAATTTCTTCTCTTAGCCACATTGTGTTGGTTGGCAATGTGATAAATTTACCTCTGGCTTTAGTGAGTCATTGTAGAAAATTCTGTATAGTCTCCAGTTCTTGACTAGCAGCACAGCAAATGCCAGTATCTCTCCGCTGCTTGGCACAATGTTACCCACCTGCACAACAAATAATCGTAACAGCACCAACTTCTTTTCGAGCCAGCTTCTTTTGTACTTCTGGCTCGGGACACTGACAGCTTCTCAGCTCTATGAATTGCATATAGTGTATATACCAGGTATATATAGCTACAGAGAACATTGGAATAATCTTAGCCAGTCCTAACCATAATTATGTACATCTACAGTGGAACCTCTCACAGTGAACACTCGACTATATGGACACTTGCTTTGATCCAATGCCGATACACTAGTGCATTATTATCCTCCAACTAAAGTACACTTCTTACAAACTTTCATGAAAATTTGCAGAGGTTTAGCTAGCTACATAGTCCTTCAGTTGAAACTCAGAGGTTCTATTGTAGAGTATAGCTACTGACTGAGCATAGTGTGGAGAGTAGTTGAGGGCTGAGGAAGGTGTCAGAGTGACTGGAGTTAACGAGGCCCAGCAGGAGAGGATAGGGCATCATTAGAACCAGTCCCAGGAGCACCAGCACACTCAGTCGAGGACTGGAGGCCTTGATATGCCTGCAGAGAGCAAACATGAGGTATATAGAGTGAGGTTAAGAGAGGGAGGAAGAAGGAGGGAGAGAGGGTGTAAGGGATCCAGAGGAAGAGAGGGAAGGAAAGGAAGGAGAGAAAAGAAGGAGGTGAGGGGAGAAAGGTAGAGAAAAGGAGAAGAAGTGGAAGAGAGCCAACTAAGTAAAGAACGAGGGATGGAAGAAGGGAGGAAGAAGTGAGATATAATGGATGCGAGAGACTGACTTGTTGTTCCTGTAGACTACAGTAGCAATTCCAATGGCCGCTGCAAACACCACTGACAGAAGAACAGCCACTAGAACGACTAGAACACCAGCTGTCGGGACCTCTGAATACCTCATCTCTACTCCATCTGAAGGCACTCGACCTGTGATTTCGTAATACGCTATAATTATACTAACATCTTTGTCCATCCACAGAGAAGAAGATGACTAGAGCTATAGCTATAAAGTGAAGAAGTGAGTGTAGCTAAAAGGTTCCACATTCAGCAAAACAAGAGAATTTAGGTAAATAACTTTAATAAAAGCATTAGCTACCATCTGAATTTAGGTCAACATTCACATGCATAATTATTACAAGCATAAAGCTACAGTAATGGACGAGACCTGTCAGCCAGACAAAGTCGTGAGGAGCCTCAAACAGCCAGTCCTCTGCCTGTGTGAGCTGCAGAAGGTCACCCAGCTCTAATTGGTGCCCACCCTCCGTCTGTCTGGTGGCGTATATCCCCACTGGTCTCTCTGTACCCTCTGTATAAGAGATTAGGGTGTACCACATTATTAGAGAGGAATATAATTTATGGATTGTGGATTGAAGGAGAGGAGCTACACAGACAATCTGTTGGTAGAAGTTTAGCTATAATATACGTAGCCTGAACTAAACAGTGGCAACAGTTTCTTATGCGGCTGACAATGCTGGTTCACGCTTATTTAAAAAATACGTGCATGGTTATGATCTGGTGTTTGAACTGATTGATATTATTATGATCAACAACTGACCGATGTACTGCGACGCTAAGACCTTTCCAAATACATTTACATCCTTTGAGAAGTCATGGCGACCCTGCGAAAGAGAGAAAAAACTTGATCGCAGCTGGTATGCAGTTATCAGATAACTTCCAGGTAGAACACCTCCCAGAAAGTAACCCTCACTTAATAGCATGAGTATAATCTGAGAACTTAACACTTAGCAAGCCACCATGGCATATATATTATGTATATGCCCAGAGCCTCCATAAGTCCTTAAGAATTTGTATATGGCTATAATACTAAGCGTTAACATAAATTTCTGCTTATTTAAGGAGATACCCATGGCGTCCAAAGGGTTTAATCACAGCTAGTATTATTTATCGTAACAGGAAATGTACGAGTATAATTATTATTACTTACAGCAACTCCCATAAAGTAGCTGGGATCATAACCGGTCGTGCTAACACTGAGTGTTCCGTTGAGGGCCTGGTTTAGAAGTCTGGCTTCAATGCCACGCCTGTCGACCGGATCCTCGACAGAGCCAATGCTGTGTGTGTGGACGAGTGGAGGAAGTATGGTGTGCCATGCTCGAGACAGGCCCCAGACTGCGTCGTAGGCACTGGCTCCCTGAGAACGGAGCAAGTACGGAATCAGGTTTATGCCGTGGAGGGACGGGAAGTAGTCGAGAGTCAGATTTTGAACCGTTTCCAAGAATTGCGTCTGAGTCTGTGAGAGAAGAGAGAAAACTATTATTCGTCGTCACGACATTCTTCGCATACACAAACAGCAGAGGAAACAAAAACAGAAGACTTTAAACTTTAATCGAGTGACAGTCTCATTGCTGCTTGTGCCTTGCACACACACACACACACACACACACACACACACTGTCCATTTTCGGTGGTGGATTATGCGCATATATACTATGCTTGGGAAACAGGCTTCATAATAGAATTGTGGTCAGAGTTAGCACTAGCAAGCACTGGTGGGCGACAAAGCATACAATACTCCATTAGTAAACGAGGAGGAAACGAGATTAATATGGTTTCTGCTGTATCTTGCATAGCCACAAGCTCCAAAGTTCACATGCTCACAAAAGCCAGAAAACCATAGATTCCCAAGAGCAGATGATAACCTATAAATTGCACATTTCTGTGGTTAAAAGGTCAGTAATGAGTCACGACAGTTCAAAAAAGTGGTTGATGACATCACACACACACAATACAGTGTATTAAACCTCAAAGTAAGGATATGTCCTTTATTTGGCAAGATAATTACTTCTTCACTCCTGACTTGCTAATAGTAACATGTGTGGATGTGAAAGCTAGTATAATACATATGCTTAGTAGGTGTCCATTAGCTATACCAACGAGTAATTCACGCACTATGGCAACAGTTTGATTCCATCCTGTGTCCAGAGACGGAACCAGATGATGATGCAGTCCGACACTCAGTACATGGGTGGTGTTCAAAATTTCTCTCATCTCATAATTAGAGCAGCGCTGGGTGGGGCGGAGATTGTTAATCTGGTGCTGACTCAGTCTCCACCAGTGTGTGTCATAGAACAGTGGCAGTATCCAGACGTAGGCTGCTCCAGTTAGCTTTCTGTGACTGTTTCTATGAGCCTGTAACATTGACAACCATCACTACTGAATTAGGATCAGAGTTCATTCAGACTTCATTGACAACCATCACTACTGAATCTAGAGCAGAGTTCATTCAGACTTCATTGACTACTAAATCTAGAGCAGGATTCACATTGTGATGAAGATTGACTTGTTGCCTTTGCCTTTCTACCTCACATGCTTATAAAGCCCTGCTTGCTGAAAGTAGTACGTTGCATATAATATAGTGCTCCTGTGTGTTAACTACATTATGTTGCATGCTTATAAGAGTACTCCTAACTATATAGGAGCAAAAAAAAACGAGTTTTGAAAAGGGATGAAAATACCATGCCAAAAGTACCATACTTCAGTAATGTAAGCACGTAAGCGCTGGCATGGATAGCTGAGGTGTGGGTATGAGCCAAAGAAGATGGTTTTAGTAGTTAGTTGCACACACAATGACTAATACTTCACTCACCTCGCACAGAGTGTTTCTAGTCCTAATCTCGTCACTGATGACAATGAATATCCTCATGTCGTCCTCTGCTGCACGTTCAAGCAGGTATGTCGCTGTCTCGTCAAACGTGTCGTAAACTGTCAGTTCAATATCGCTGTCCTTCAACTGTTCCAACTCTACCAACTCATGCAGCACCTGTCAGTGATAGAGAGACACAATTTAAACAGCAATGCAGGGCGAGCGAATTTAATTCAAGTAGTTATTTTCATGAAAATTATTATTCAGAATCGTGTAAAGTAGAGTAGTTACACCACTTTTCATCCCCAATATAGGCACACACTTTATATACCTGAGTATGAAGGTGGTCGGGGGAGGTAAGGACGGCGCACCTGTACCAGTTGAACTCTGTCAGGAGTCTGACACGAGCCAGGTTGACCAGGGTCCATGTGGGAGTGGTGCGATAGAGGCTAGAGAAATACCGTCTGTTTGAGAGTTCGGGAGACTGAGCTCCATAAGTAATCTGTGTGATATTGACAGGAAACTATCACCAGACACTCACAGCTCAAGGTTCTTAAGATTGTGTTCTGATTGGAACAACCTCCAAATATAGGGTCAGTGGGTCAGTGGTTAAAAACTAGCAGTGAAAAACCTAAAACAAGGTCAGCTGTTCTTTACTCAGAGAGTTTACATCTTATGTCCACTTGTCTACTGGCTAGCTGTTGTTTAAGGTTTTTAAGCTGTAAGTAGATGGTTGTATAATTATGTGTTGTGTGTTGATTTGAACTCTGGCTGTGGAAACGTAATCCAGGCATATTTGGCAACAAATGTATTGATGACTGGCATTAATTAGCACTCAGGAGTAGACCATAGGAAGTGGTAACATGAAGTTTCTGGCAGCCAAAACATTTCCTCTGACCTTCCTGGTGGCAACCAAGGTTTTCAGACCTTATTACTTGTGACCTCCAAAAGGTTTTCTAACTAAAAAGCCATCTATAGCTATCAGCTGACTCTTCCCGGCCATTTCCTTGCACATCACCTCACTGCACCACATGCACACACACACACACACACACACACACACACACGCGCACACACCCTCAGAGCTGTGTAAGGCGTGCCACACAGGCTCTGCTGTATAAATGTGCTTCTATAATGCATCTAGTTATCCACATACTCAACTGCTATTATACATGTAGTGACATTACTTGGCCTGCAGTAGGGATTAAATTCCTCCATGTGCATGTCACCATATTATCCTTGCAGAATATGACTTTCATCTATCATAGAATCAATGTAACAGTAGTGCGACGTTTTATGCGCATTTAGAATTACGAACATTTTTTTCCTTTTTTGGTATGAAAAAATACCGTTGATAATCACACTTGCCAATTACCAACTCTGGTGATTCAATACTAATGTTGAATTCACTAACAAAAAACCAACTGCCACGCTAGCAGCAGCGTCTGGATAGCACCCAAAGTCACAAAGATATTGCCACCACAGAACCTCCAGATCAAGGACAGTATGCAGAAATCAACAGATGGAAAATTTACTGCTATAGTGTCAACATTACTCAATACCATGTAATTATCCTCTTAGTATAATGTTTTTATCAACGATTCTAGCACATACAGTCCACTACTTTCTCACAAAATCAAGTACTAAACTCTTTGTACATACCATGGTTATCTGGAATCTCATGGCCAGTTGGGCAAATGACAGTCTCAAAAGCTCAGAGCTTTGTGGTCCTATAGAGCCATGAATAGGCGTCTCCTTTAACCGTATGGCTCGCTCGAAACTGAAGGTTGCGTCTGCCGAATCAGACTGTGCGTATATAGAGAAAAGGCAGTCCACGGCATAAGGATGATAGCTACTATAAAGTAATTGATGGTGATGTGCAGCACACCCTATGCACCATAATAAATGCGGTGGAAATCTAGCATGTAAAAAGTATATATAGTAGTTTTCTAGAAGAAATTTAGCTAGAAAATTATTAGGGAGAGTGTACTGAAATTAGCCTGCTAATCTGGCAACGTAAGCTTACTGATGTCCCTCGACGTGAAATCAGGTTCAGAGTTAGATCTGGGAGTAGATAATCGCCTGAATAAGTGAAAATTCCCTGGAGATGCCGGTTGATGTGCCGCGCAGCGAGCTCCGAGGCGACGTACGCGAACACGTCGCATCGTCGCAGAAGTCCGAGCGCCGCGGCCGCACTTTCGTTGTGCTCCGCAAACACTTTATCTGTACACGGAAAGGAGGACAGGTAGTTGATCATGCTGTAGTTGCGGCAGACCCGAGGAACTTCGGAATACGGTGCCAACGGCGCTAGTGCGGAGCCAGAACCGACGTCGTCTGCAAACGGCGGATCGGATCCGTCCGCAACTGGTCGTGCTGCTACTGCGTATCCCAGCCAGGCCATCATCAGGGAGAAGACGAATAATAGAACTGTTCCTGGCCTCATTCTCTCGAAAGTTCAGCTTCTAGCACCGGCCAGTCTTCGTCGTCGGTCATGGCACAATTTGCGTGAGGTTTCAGCGCGCCGCGCATGCGCATAAGGTTACACAGTGGCGTACATATAACATGACTATATATAACATACGGAAGAGAACATATTGATAAACAGTGCGACAGTGTTTAGAGTACAGTAGATGTAGTTGTAACACTCCAGTACTGCATTTCATTATAGTTGAGGAGGATAGGTGACATACATAATGAACATGGTGTGAGGATAACTACAAACAGTCCATAGAGAAGGGAAGGGAGACTGAGGAGAACCAGAAGACCAAATGCAAAGTATCTAGAAAATGGGCTGGTGCTATGATCACTAACCATATAGGCTACCATAAAACTCCACATGACTACATACAAAAGTTGTGTCAGCACAAATAGTGGACTAGTGTATAGGCGGGCCACATTTACCGTGAATCCACTGATAGTCTTTGAACCACGATGCATCGTTTCGAACAGTGGCAAGAGGGTTTGTACGTCAATTGGATCTGGGCAGTTGTGAGTTGGAGGGAGGTCGAGAGCCATCGAGAGAGGGAAAAGTCGTGCAAAGGGAGACACATTCAAGAAATAAAGTCCCCACAAGTATGGGGACACCAACCCAGAAAAAATTATGTGGGTGGCAAGTGGGAGTCCTTCATGAGAAAAGCCAGTTTGAAGTAAAGATCCAACATAAACCACAAGCCATGTTTGCAAAAGAATCAATGCGCCGGTATTGATGCATAGTCCGTAGAGAAGACATTTCTGAGAAGTGGCAGCATTTGAACGGTTTGCTGCCCTTGATTTGAGCAGCGACCATGTAAATTTGATCACGATAAACATTTTCATCACAACTGCTGTCAGGAAATAGAGCAGACCAATCAGTCCAACGATGGAGTAGGTACTACTGGATTCTTCTAGTAAATCAAAACGTGAAGACAGCGTAGTCATTAATGCGCCATAGATCAGTATCTCTGTAATGAAAAGTCGTACAATATCGGCACAAAGGTTCCATGATCTGCCGCGTCTGAGATCGCTGAGGCCATGACCACACCAGAAAATAAAACGCTCCACAGAAATGACAGTGAGTGCGAACGCTAGAAACCCGATTCCCAAATATCTCAGAAACTGATTGTCGAAAGGAGTCGCAAAGGAGATGATGATCCCGGCAAGTAGCAGAAGACTCTGAACAGCCAGGAAAATATACCTCGCCCAGCCTCCAATGTCGCCGGTCGACATGATGCGTCTCATTCCTATTTTCCACGTGGCAATCATGATAGGCGGCATTCTGAGACCTCCCATACCAGTGTAGCAGCAGAAACAGACAGGCTCTTTCAGTGGTACCCGAGATCCCGGAGTATTTGTGAGTCTTTGACCTGTATTATATCAGACCATTGTGAAAAAAGGGATTATACTACAGTATAGTGGAACCTCTTATAACGAAAAGCACTAAGTGCAAACCCTCGGCGAACTGCGCATGCGCGGTACCGCTAATTGATGGGCTGGGCTCTTTGTATAATTATAGTATGCGTTTACCCGCGAAGAGTCTGACACGGGCTAGCTACAGTAGTAGATAGCATGCGGGAGTCGATAAACGCCCTTCGTTGTGACTTCTTGTGCCTCCAAGGTACACAGAGCAAGCGGACCCGGTCGAGGTAAGCCTGTGCTAATTTGCATATTGGCTTGTTCACTTGGTTTTCATGCCATAACTTCTGAACGCGGCACTTTTACAAAATTCGGCATTTTACAAATGAAGCGGGTGTAGCGCTGAACCCGTTGGTGTCGCTATTTTACCTGTTTGTCACGCGTGGTGGCAGAAAACGTGGACGGACGGACAGACGGACAGAACAAGTACTGTAACCCTCGCTGCGCATGCGCGCCGAGGGTTAATAATGGCCACTCCAAATAAGGACACCTCTGTCGTACTGATACGATTATCGTCTGAATAAGGATACCTCTGGTTTTACGGTTCTAGTGTGTCATACCAAATACAGGAGACCTCTCCATAAAAAAAATGTATGGGGCTAGAGTGTCCTTTATAGTTTCCACATCATAACAAAATGAAGATTGGAGAGTTGACTAGGTTAACACTATGGTGTAGTTTCCAAGCATACACATTATTCAAATACTCGGTTCATACATGACATTCAGACCTGGTGAGGAAGAGGGTGTTGCTTGTTCCATCACGGGTGGGGAATCATTATAGGGGTAGCTCGGTGGCTCAGGCGACGTCAGGCTTTGTAAGTACACCCGTTCTTCACTCTCTCTCCTTCCACCATGGTAGTGTCCTACTATGGTGCCGGGAGTATAATGGACTGGCTGTACTGTAGTGCCTCGGCTATAGCGGACTGTCCCGGAGGCACGGTGGACTGGTGGCTGTATTGAAGTGCTAGGACCGGAGAGCCTGGTCATGTAGAGTGCTTCATCATAAGTTGGCAACACTGCTTGCTCTCCTGGGTCCTCTACACCTATATTATACATATAGACAAACGGCGAGTCTCTATCCGTGCTAAACAACGCGACTAGCTCGGCACAGCTCAGCTCGCTCGTACTTCCTCGATCTCAAGCTAGCTACGCGGCTCTGTGCTCACCTCGGACCGTCACATCGTTGCTTTCTCCTCCCACAATCACTTTTTCAGACATCGTCGTGGCAGTCGAACACTAAAACTAAGGCGTGTCCACACCAGTATTAACTCACTGAAGTATCCGGAGAAAACCGTTGCGTTTACAAGTTTATAACCCCACCATACTTTTCACATTGACAATTTCGCATTGCCGTTGTTCATACACAGTACAAACAAATGAAATGTACGTATTAATTAATGGGATATTACATTAATCTATAGTCTGGCATCGATAAAGATAATATTATCCTCGAGACTTGTTGTATGATTTTTCAAATACATTTGCTCACACACGAGTACAAATGAAAGTGGCATGTCCACCATTTTGGATCAGGATGATGAGGAACTTCAGGATACGGTGCCACGGCGCTAGTGCGGAGCCAGATCCTACGTCGACGGTCAAAGCTGAGCATCGGCTTCGTCCCGGAGCCAGCAGTGCATCATCAGGTTGAGAAGACGAATAAGAGCACTCTTCCTCCCTGCGCTCATTCTACTCTTACATCATCGAAAGTTCAGCTTCTCAGTCTACGCCAGTCTCGTCGTCGGCAGCCGCTTAGTTTTCAACAACTTGCGTCGATAATGGTTCCTACAGCGCGCGCGCGCATCGTCGCATAAGATAGATTACACAGAGTGCGTAATATACATATACTCGATGGCACATGACTGTTTATACTATGAACATACGGACAGAGAACATGTTGTGATATTAACAGCCTCTTTGCAACAGTGTGTTTAGAGTACTAGTCAGAAAACACTCCAGTATGCGTCATATAGTTGCCGGAGGATATAGGGACATATATAATGAATTATGGTCGTCCGAGGATACACTACAACAGTCATAGATGAAGGGAGAGAGAGCCTGAGCGAGAACCATGAAGACCAGGTGCAACTCGGGTTATCTAGACAATCGGGCTGGTGCAATGATCCACTAACCATACCTATGGCTACCATAAACTCACTCCACATGACGACATACAAAAATGTTGTGTCCGCACAATTTAGTGGACTAGTGCATAGGCGGACACATCTACATTGTGATATCCAGAGCGTCTCTGAACGTACTTAAACTATGCATCCACTTCCTCGCCCGAACACCCCCTTGTCGGATCAAGGAGCTTCTTGGTTTTTGTACCGTCAATTGGATCTGGGCATTGTGATTTGGAGGGAGGTCGAGAGCATCGAGAGAGGGAAAAAGTCGTGCAAAGGAGACACATCAAGAAATAAAGTCCCTCTACACAGTTATTGTGTGGGACACCGAAGCCAGATAAAAATGACTGAGGGTAAGTGGGAAAAACGTCCTTCATCGAGTTGAAAAGCCCCAAGTAGAAGTAAAGAGCACAGAAGTAAAGAATACAAACATTAAACCAAAGAGCTGCTTGCAAACAGGATTCAATGCGCCTGGTATTAATGCAATAGTCAGTATGTGAGACATTCTGTTTAGTAGTGTGCGCATTCTGAACAGCTTTGCCCTGCCCTTGATTGAAGCAACCCGCGACATGTAAATTTGAGCACGGATGTAAACATTTTCATAACCAATCTGTCGCTCAGGAATAGCTAGCATCAGAGACCCAGACCCTCATTACAAACAACATAATATTCGATCACCGTTTGTAGTCATTAATGCGCAGTG